AATAATTCAACTAATGACTAGGATTTAGTGCAATCTAGTGTATTTGTTCATTTGATTTGTACATACATACGCAGACATTGATACAGATGTTAATTGTTTTTTATAGGACAAAAAATAACACACAGTTTTATTAACTTGACATTTTTAAATTCAATATAATATCTATATTATTTAGTATGTAGTTTGTTACAAACTGAAATATTAACAGAATCAGTGTTTTTTTAATTGATTAACTAACGCAATTGAAAACGTAAACTTTTAAACCATTGCTTTGAAATGGTTATATGTACTCTAATATGCATGGACAGTAAAAACGTTTTTATTTGATTGAATATTTCAATGGATCTATTCAAAATTTAGAGAATAACTGATTAACATTGGTTCAAATAAAGTATTGCTCAGATATAGTATAAGTGTTGGGGATGTTAGATCCACAAAACTCGCTTGATTTCACGTTTGCCAGCATGGTCTAATCAGTTGACCTTGAGATTTTATTTCCCATCAGGAAACTCCATGGCTGTGATTGGCTGTTGTGTATTTTAGTGTGCTATTTTCGTAACTGTCCGAAGGACGTTTCTATGATGTACAAATAAACGAGAGTTGTGTGCTTGATCGTATTGTGATTGCTGGATGTTTGTAGAATATACTTTCTACGCTTACAAAGCCTTCTATCTTCAGCTTGGGATTCAAGATAGCCTATCTGGACGCTGGTAATTGTCTCGTTCGCGTTTATCGACTAAGGTGAACTCGTAATAGCTTCAAGCGTACCTAGTGACGAACCCTACAATAAGCTCATTGGATAGTTTGAATAACGATAGTTCTAGTTTTTATTCAAATTAAGAATAAACCAATTACTTGATATAAAAACTCTAATCTTGTACACAAATCGTTTTAAAGACATGGTGAATAAATTATCAGTCATCTTGATTTCAAGAGAATGAGTTTTCAATGTACAATGTATTAGGCGATGTTAATTCGTCGATCTAATACTATTGATAAGTATGAATTGTTTTCAATATTTTCTATTTATCAATGATAATCTTTTAGGAAAAATTCTATGTTAATTCAAGAGATAAAGTTAAACTTGTGGCTATCATTTGATTCAAAATCTTTGGTTTGCATGTTCAAATTGCAGTAGTCACAAAAGTAGGAATAAAGTACAAGGCTTAAAAAAATTGTACTGGGTATTTCATTATGATTATCTACGAAACAATGAGTTACCATTCGGTTGGTCAGCTTTTGCATAGTTTTGCTTCACTGACGTAATAAAACAGACAACTTTATTATTGGTTATAAACCAACACACAATTAGAATTTTTTAAAGTCGTAAAATTAAAAAAAAATGTCAGAAATAAACATGTATTCAAATTATATTATTCAATAAAACTGAACTATTGTGTAAGTCACATGATATCTATGTTCATTCATTCATTTTAATGCGTATATCTGTCTCTTCATTAATTTAAACATACGTAGACATTTAGGGAGGGAGTTAAATAGGGAGTATATACTTCTGCATGAATTTGAACCAAATCTGCTTTATAAGGTTTATTTAATAAGTGAGTGATGCACATAAGTGTATTCGTTTAACTGAAGATTTCATTCCAAGTTAAAACTTTCATCTTATTTACTTTTTTTCATAATACTGTACAGGAAGGTGTTCACAGATAGCTTTAGATTATCAAAATGAAGATCCCAGTGAAAATCATACTCATATCTGTGTTAGTAACACAGTGAATGAACGAACACTGAACATTGAACAGGGAAAAAGGATGGTTATCCTAAACGTCAACGATAGTTTTATCGTATTAAGAATTGAAATCTTGTCATTATATCCTTATTAAATTGCCTATATACAGTAGGATTTCTATATCAAAATGTGTTGATTTCATATATTAGTTGCATAAATTGAATTCTAATTTATTATTGAGTCGTGATTGGACTTTGAACGTCTATACATTATGTTCAACAGTACAAAGTCTAAAATCACATTTAGTCTTCACTTAACTTTTTTACTAATAAATTGTGGTAGTTCTTTCAATATTGACAATTACTTTTTTTCTAAACACTTTTAATAAATCTAAATAAAATGGTTTATTCAGAAAAAAGGAGATAAAAATGTGATGCACTTTGTTTTAATGTATAATAACACGTTAGAACATATGTAAATGTTATTTTGTTTTCGGCAATGATGAGTAGATGTTGTGATGAATTATTTGTAATGAATAAACGCTGTCAATATAACTTGATTGGCGGATTTATACTTAAATTTATTATTTCTTCTAGAGACCAATGATGAATAATATTCACACTATGAACAGACGGATTGAAATAGATATACATATATATAGATCAAGAGAGAGAGAGAGAGAGAGAGAGAGAGATAGTAATCTTACTATATGGTACTAGTATGATCTGTGGTAAAATTGTTTCAGAATGGCTTAACTTGGTTCTTCTTAGGTTAATAAAATTTTTAAATCGTACATCACACTTTTGTTCTTTTCTAATTTTTACAAGAGTATATTGTAATTAAAACAAATTGGGTAATCTATCGTATATTTTACTTTCAAAACTGAAACATGTATTCATGAAATACTTGGTGTTAGGTAGTTAAAAGTAATCAGCATGAACCTTTGTATTTACTTTTCACACTGATAAGCATTTAACAACACAGTGTATCTCAAACCTTGGAATCTGAACATTCATCATTCATGGTCACGATCAGTAGGCGTTAATGTTACGGGTGATTGAAGTTGTTTATAAACGAATTTTATTACTTGTTTGAAACTCTTGCGAATGAATGACTAGAGTCACAAAATCTAATTACAGTACTTGAAAACGCTGTATCCTAATGAACTGACATTCACACTGAAGTAATCCAATCAGAAGGGCTATAATGAACGAATACGTGATAAAAAAGTATCAATTTGCTGATTGATTGACTCACGTAAAACTTATTTTTCGGTAACAAACATTTACTACTAGCAAATAAATAAGTAGATGAGTAGAATAAACAAAAATGTAATCGAAGCTAATTAAGCTTATTAAGAAAATCTCTTCAACGGTTTCCGGAGTCGACGCACAGGCTACGAAAACATTCATAGTATTAACAACACAAAAACTCCTTTAACATACTTATATCATACATACATAAATTACAAACTCTTTACACGAGGATAAGTAAAAACAAGGAATGTCACAATTTCGTTTTTTTAAAAGGTAGCAGCAATGAAAATTTTTGAATATTAAGAAGAGAGATAAAAATACTCCATAAATAGTCTAGAATTATTATTGTTTTACTATTTTTGTTTGACTGATGCTTTGCCATAAGTTTTGTTACTCTTGTTCAGTAGTGTTGAGTTTAAAACATCTACAGAGGTTTTTTTAACTATTAGTCTGAAAATATTGATTTTAATTCTAAGGTGTAGAATTGAGGATACTGATAAAGATGACAGTAATACCACTAAAATTATTTCTGTTAGTTATGGTTATTATGTATATGGGTGGTCAGGAAGATATTGTTAGTATTATTATTACTATTATTATTACAATGAATTTCTAAATTTGGTTTATATGATGAGTGTTTTTTTCCTCTCTTCAAAGATATTGACTCCCTATTTCTCTCCTGGTTTTTATTATACTCTCTCTGTTGATTAAAATTTATTCTAAATAAAACATTTTCCGATTAGAAAAGTATACGTATACAATGTTGTCTATGATATCTATGATATGTTGACGAATAAGGCAATTTAATTTTCGTTATTTGAACGTATTTATTTTAAATCTCAATGGAATATGGTTGGCAAAACGAACAATTGAACCATTTACTTCATGTTAAGTAGAGAAAATTGTAAGCAGTCATCAATCAGGCGAACTTGACAGAAGTGTTAGTAAAGAAAATTTCCAAGTATTAAATAGTGAGAAATCCTTTTATTCAGCTTCTGATCTTATGTTAATGATCATAATTTCGAGAAATTCAAATAATAAGAGATCGAATCAATTTAAAATCAGTGTAGAAATTATTATATTTTCACATCACCGTATATTCTTCATCATTCATCTGTCAGCATGACTAATTTTTTCCCTTACTCTTATTTTTGTATTGATAAGAAGTTTTTGACATTCAGTCAATTAACTTTCTTTTAGTTTTTTTATAGCAGTTTTAGAATTTAAATAGCTGGCAATTTCTTCAAGAGAAGGGTTCTCACATATGTAGTTCAGTGATCACATGTATAACTAAAGCGAACTTGAATATCTTAGAAGGCTTTACTATCTTAGACATTAGATATCTTTTGTCAATAAATATCAGCTAGTATTCTCTCAAAGCCTAACCTTCAGAGTTCCTCATCACCTTTATCTTTTTCCTTTTTAAAGTTTATTTCATTAGATTCTACTTCTTGAATAATATCTGCGAACCCTAATCTCTCCGATTACTGCTTATACTTTTACTACCTCTACTATTATGGGATTTAAATTAGCAATTGCATCTTTGTGCTAAAGTGGTCTGGCAACTTGAAATGATGTACATACGTACGAAGTTCCTCGTTGTTGATTGATTGACTGAGTCTATAATATGAATATAAATTCTCAAAATGATTTATTTCAAACGTTAAATTCTTATTGAACCGAAAAGATGTGGAATTTGAATTACTCTTAAATGTTTTCTTTGAGAAATAATTTCTATCTGACATTGAACACAAATTGATGACAGTTTTATTAAAATAAATTAAATAAGTTTCATATTCTTAAGATTTTAAAGGAACTGTCTTACTGAATAGAATCAAAAACTATGTCGTTTAAAATGAAAATCAGATTTTCAAAACATTAACCATTCATATTGAAAAACAGAACACAACTTAATAAATCTTCTCTTTTTCTTCAAATGCTTGAGATTTCGTTTCAGTAGAGTTTATTTTTCAGCAATAGGACTTTTTCATGATAGAAAGTAGTATCTAATTCCAAAAATTAACTTTTTAAAAATTACAATTTTCTTATTTTAGGCCATTATTTTCAAATGAAAAATTGTTGGACTCTGTAAGATCTAAAAATATCAACAACTCTACTACTAATACTACTACTAATAATAATGATAATAAAGTAGAATGTTCCTCTCCAAATGCTAATATGGTTGCAGCTGTTGCATTCAATGCTGTTCGTAGATGGTTTGCTAATCCATCAACATTAACCAGTTCCGATAATACAATAAAATCAATATGGAATGAAAATATAAGAACAGGAAATTGTAGTACAAATTCCATTGGTTTCATGCCTCAATCGAATATATTACCTAATGCATCATTAAATTCACGTTTACAATCGACATTACCACCTCCATCTTCAGTAGTGAATTCAACTATCGGTAATACAATCACATATAATAATTATGGAATGTTTATGCATCGTGGACATCATAGTAGTGGATACGTTCCAAATCACACAGCACCAATGTTACGTGGCGGTAAGAAACGTTCACATTCTCAATCTTCTGTAAATGAATTATTTGATATTTCAAGTTTAACAAGAAGTTCACAAGGTTCATTGAATATTATGCAGTCTATGCGCGGTTCACATAGTATGGGACCAAGTGCTGAAGGTTCATATGGTCATCTGTCTGCTGGTAAGTCACTATAATAGCATTACTAATCGATATATTAACACTGGATAGCAGCTGAATTCGATTTAATGCTTAACAAAATGTATAAAATGTCAGCTACCTAATAAGTTGACAATGAGCTAAACAATGAGTAAGAAATCTATACGGGTAGTCTGTAATAATGATAGCATTCATAAATTCCTAATCAGGTAAAAGCTTATAACTAACCGATTAATAATGATAGATACATTTACATTGGTTAATAACTGACTGGTGACTAATTTTATCTTTATCTGGCCCTTTTAAGTGCAGATAAATTACTACGGATTACTCGGTAATATATTCACCAGTCAAAATGATACGACATTACGTGTGCTACTGTTGGCAGGATTTCGAGGGAATACAAAAACGTGACATTATCGACTACTCAGTAAACAATCAATGTGAACTTCTTAGGCTGATGAAAGATTAGTTGTGACCCAAATAGTTCAGTATTAACACATCATACTGTGAAACTAAATGATGCAATCTGAACTCTTATTGGAGCATTATATTCTCTCAGATTGTAGGAATGGCTTTCGAATGAGTGACAACTAGATTGAAACATATGTACTAGGGTTTTCTGCCGACTATCAATAACTGTCTGATATCAAAGGATGTATTTACACAATTACTGAAAATGCTGAAAATGATTTCTTTAATTCAAACTTCAAATAACAAAACATCAAAAGAAAACATCCAACTACAATGACAGCATTCATTTTACTTTAGGTTGTAAGTAATAAACATCAAGAGGTTCTGAAATTATATTTTACGAATCCCATGAGCTTATCAGTAATCGAATACTCAAAAATGAAAGAAATCACTGGTTCGTATAGTACTCTAGTCGGTTGCATAAGGCACTATGGTTATGATGAATATTAAATAGTTATTAGGATGATGACCAACCTTCTAGTATATCAGTACATGAATACTCTTCATTAGATATAAAAATTTTATACGAGATTGTACACATTGACTTGGATATTGTCTTATAAGTAATTAATTGTAAAACCTGTACATTCATCGCAACTAGGTTTTGATTAATTAGTTAAATATGCCTTCATATTAGTGTAGCTGCGCTTGATGTAGCACAGGCTGCCAACTTGCATTCTCCAACTTGATCTGTCCTGTGCCTTCATTTCCAGCTCTATCCAATTGCTGTTCATTATTTTCATGTGGTTTTTTCGATTCTTGGCGTAATATATTCTTCGGTCTTCCTCTTTTTCTTTGGCCTGGAGCATTCCAGTTGGGTGATTGCATCAATATGTGTCCTATTCACCTCCAGCGCTTTTCCTTAATTTCTTCCTCCGCTGGAATCTGATTTATTCCCTCCCTCAGTAGACTGACACTGACAGTGTCTGACCAACGGATGAGGAGTGTCTTGCGTAGACATCTGTTAGTTAACACTTGTATCTTGTGGATAATGGCTTTTGTGGTTCTCCAAGTTTCTGATCGATACATAAGAACTGTCTTGTCGTTTGTATTGAAAAAAATGAACTTTGTCTATGTTCTTTATAAGATTTTCAAGATAAGAAGCTTAGGCTCAAAGTATAAAAATTACACATTATTGATCCCTTAGGTCTTTTAAAGTTACATGAATGGTATCCACTAATTTTTACTCAATGTATATAAATATGAATAAAAATGATAACTATTAATCACTTCCGATTGTCATTATTGTCCATGTATCTAAATGTTTATACTGTACCTCTATGGTTTATTTAGTTAATTATAAATATTGTTTTCTTGTTAAATCACTTTAATTATTTCTCAGATTTTTAATATACTGACAAAATTGATCTTAATATTATTTCTTCTTTTTAATTTAATCTTTAAGCTTCACTTGGTGCCAGTCCCGGCGCTTCATGTGATATTCGTCGTACACTTAGTAGTAATGGCAACTCTTCACATACCGCTCCACCAGCTCCATTTAGTGAGAGATCACCATTTTGGTCACCTCATTCACCGCATTCAGCTGGTAGTGGATTCGATAACTATCAAACATCTTCACATAAATCTTTACCATTACCTCCAATTTTACAAACATATCAACAACATTCCGGATATACATCTACAAGTGGTAGCAGTAGTAATCGTTCAACTAGTGGTTTAAATCGTGCACCTTTTGGACATCTCGCAGTTTTATCTTCATCAAATTCATTCAGTAAACAAATACAACAACAACAGCAACAACAATCAGATTCGAATTCTCTTTTCAACTGTTCAGTAGATGTTTCGAAAAGAATTACAAGTAATCCTTCAAATATGCTAATACCATCATGTAGAATATTGGCTTTGCCTACTAACAGTGTTACACCATCTTCATCAGAATTAACATCAGACTGTACGAATAATGTTTTACAGTCGGCGATGGCCTTCGCTGCAGCTGCAGCCGCAGCCGTAGCAGCCTCTTCCACAACGTCTGGTACGACAGAACGAGATAATTCATCCTTATTAAATAAGAATGCGTCAGAGAATACTATTAATCGTGAATGTAGAAATCACAACTTACATCAATATCCATCAGCTGAATGTGAGTCCTGTACATCAACACATACCATTAGTAATAGCAATAATAAATTGTATGAATCGATCAATTCAATGTGTAATAATCTAGTGCCTTCATGTTTTTTGAAACCCCCTTCCTCGGCTGTCAATAAGAATACTACTACTGACAATAATAACAGTAGTAACAGTATACTTTCGAACCAAATGTTAACAGATAACAGAAATATATCTTCAAATAAGCTGTCATGTTATAATAACGTTGATCGTAATGATAATGATGCCTATATGGATGTAAATAATAATGAAAACACCCAACAAGGAGTATTTAGGAAAACAAAACTTTGTACTCCATATCTTCAATTACCTTCTAATCATTCATCAACAATGCACAATCAGTTAACTCACAACAATTCAAATAATAAACCTAATAACACTGATGTTAATAATAGTGGTAATATGCCTTCATCGTTTACAAATCCTTTACATTGGCCATTCGAATCAACACCAACACCTGACTGGTCATTTCCATGGCTTAATAATAATGTCAATAATACTATAAGATGTCAACATAATCCAAGTGAAACTGTTCGAAGAAATGGACGAGTAAAAATTGGACAACCTGATTTCAATTCAACGGTATTATCCAAAAGTGAAATGTCTAAATTTTTACTAAATGAAAACAATAATCGCAATAATAATAATAATAATAACCATTTAATTGGTGCAGGAAATAATCTTATATGTCCAACTTTAACAACAGATTTATTAAAACAACACTGTACAATAAATAACCCAGATAATAATAACATTAATGCTCGTTCATTGCATCAACAAACATCTCAAAGAAATCAAATGCGCAATGTTAAAAATCTTGGTCGTACGTGTCGTACAACACCAGCAATAGAGACAGTCGCCCCAACAACAACGGAAGCAACAGCAATCGCATCACCGTCATCATCAGCAACACCAACTAGCACTGGAGCATTCAAACAAAAGACAATTGAACATTTACATAAATGGAAAAATCAAAATATATACAATGACCGTAATGATTCAACGCACAATTCCAATAATAATAATAACCGTGGTGGAGTTGGACGTTGTTCAATCGACGAACCAGATGTGGAGGAAGATGAAGAATTAGAAGATGATGGACGTGTACCACAAGAAGGTGATCCAGATTTTGTTGAAACAACATGTCGATGGGGTGATTGTACATTACAATTCGACGATCAAGATGATTTAGTAAAAGTAAATTGTTTTTTATTGTTTTAAAAATTTAAAAAAATTAAAAATGTCCATGATGAAATTTTTAGAACAACATATATAAGTGAAATTGAAATTGTTTTCAGCTGAATCTTCACTGAGGGAAATATAAAAACAAATCAATATATAACATAACTAAACATAATTAGTAAATAATACTAATTTACAGTAAGATGATAAATGAATTACCAGTGATATGAGAAGAATCGTTAAAAAAAAATTCTTAGAATTACATGATAAACAGTTGCCTGATAAGGTTAATTCTTGTCTCCTACATATAGAAGTGACTGCAGATATTCGAACCAACAACCTTAGGTTATATGTTTAGAGGGAATTTGTAACATTCTGATCCACTGCTTAGATTGATAAAGCTTAACAAGAGATTTTACTAACTGTTATTATTGTTATTATCATTATTGCTTTCCTATATCCTTAATGTGTTTGTTTTTCTTCCCTCTCTTTCGTTTGTATTGTTCAATGTCAAATTCTCTTGTTCTTGTTCTTACTAGACATTTTATTTAATTTTCAGTGATAATTATTTTAATGGTTTTAAGGTTTTCAAGGTTTTAACCGAACTTCTCATGTTAAAAAATATTAATTCGAACTTTATCATTTTGAACGTGGTAATTTATTGAAGTATATAAAATAATCTGTTATAAGGGAGCTTATTATTTTTACGTAATTTTTTCATTGAATATATAATTTATATTATAATACTATTGGAGAAAATACACTCTCAAAGCGCTTGAAAGGAGTAAAGTGAATTTTGTCAAAACCAAAAGCCCATAAGATATCTAGTTGAAAATTGTTGCAAACTTCAATTTTTAAAAGTACAATGACCATTTTAATCCTAATCAAATCTCATGACAGTTAGAATGGATCTTTCTTTGCATAAACGTAACATTAGTTGTTCGGTTAACCTTATCGTTTGATGTATAAAATTGCCATCAACTATAAGTAAATAAATAAATGAACAGCAGTTGTGAAAGACTTAAATAGTTTGTAATTTGCACTAATTATCTCATGCGTATTAGTTAATGGTCTTGTTGTCTTTGTAAAACTATACTGTACAATCCAACTGTTTTTTTGTTTTTATGACATCACATAGATGCGGTTACAAATATTATGAGATAATCATATTGTGATCTAATTAGTTAACTTGGTCATAATGTTCACTTTCAGTTTTTTTTTTTAATGTAGAAAATTTTTTTCATTAAAGTAGTTAGCCTCCAAACCTGTTCGATTGATTCGAATTTTTGTCATGAATAATCATTACTGTTCAACCGAACAAATCATCACATCTTAAGATAGAATTTACCGCTGAAATTTCCTGTAAATTATAAAAAGTTGACTAAACTGTTATCTGCTGAATAACAAAGTAAAATAAACGAACTGTAATAATAAACTTGTAAAGCATAATTTTAAGCTCCGTGGTCGATATTACCTACTGTTTAGTAAGTAAATTATAATCTTTAAAATTGATTATTGATCATATAAATTGTTTTTATAATTTTACCATTTTATTTTAGCATCTTAGTACTGAGCATATTGCGGGCAATAAGAAAAGTTTTGTTTGTTTATGGCGAGAATGTGTTCGTGGAACTAGACCATTCAAAGCTCAATATATGCTTGTTGTACATATGCGTAGGCATACTGGTGAAAAACCGCATAAGTGTATAGTAAGTATCAATAGATTGATTTTCCGATTCTATTTCTGTACATTGCAAAATAGTGAAATATTGTTCTTGCTTATGTATGCCTAACAATATCGCTAAGTGTTCCCATAGTTATATCTTGTGATTTACTAGAAAGCATCTCTTATTTCCTACCCATTCTTAGCAATAACTTAATCCTGCTGACCGAATTCAGTGACTCCCTTTCGAATCGCAGTGTAAGTTATCGATTCTGAACAGAAGCAATTATAAGTGACAGGATTAAACCTAGACTTCTTGTTTGTTAACATACATCAGCAAGATATATTCGCGACGTCATAAGATTATGTGTCGGCTTTGTCTTAAGTTTAAAAATGCTCAGTGAGTATTTAGTACCCGCTATCGACTCCATAATAAATGCTTATTATTGACGCTAAAGACGTCGGTGAAATATACATTTCACTTAACTCTGTACATATTCTATCGATTTAACACGTTTTGAACAGAAGTCGGATACCAGAGTGGCAAGTTAGAAAAATCAAACACACCTGCTTAGTAAGTAGCGAGTGATTCAATCTTTATATTGGATATATAATATATAAACTACTAATATCCAAGTAGACTAGGAATGAGAAACACACACAATATAACTACGCGTAAAAACGCGTAGTTCTTGACGAAGTACATACCACAGTCATAAAATATAAAACCGAATTTGAATGATCCAATTAATGATCAGACACAAGTGTGTCATAAACGGTACCATAAGTAGAGCAGTTTCACGAAATATTGATCATATTTGAAAGAAGGATAATCAAATAGATTTTGTTTAAAATCATATGAACACTAATGATCTACTTTTAAGCCTTTTTAAAGGACGATCTAATTTGTTTAACTGGATGACATAATATGTATTCTGTAGTAATTAATTTGTTAGGCAAAGAAAGTAAAAAATCAGAATAAAAATTTGGTCTGAGAAAACGATTCGGTTAAACTGAATAATTATCATAGGATTGATAGTTATAAATTATATTTAGTGTAACTAACTTTGCGATTTCGATCACTCTGATGATAAGTCATATTTAATGTGATGAATTACTCTAAACCGAGAAAAAATATTACTACAAAATGTAGATGCTGTTTTTTCTTGAATCAACATCACCTGGAATATCAGTGAAAATAACCATTGACTGAATAGTTGTTTAGTTCTAGTTTGCAGTTCTTTAGATAAGCACACATAAAACCTCATCATGAACACAATCCAAAATCTTTAAATCCCTCGGTGAACATTTTACGTTCGTATAACTGAGTTAAAATTTAATAGTCTATAGGGCAAACTAAAACCGAATGATTATACAAATCTATGGTAATAACAAATTAATTCTACACTCACTTTGTGTCTTTTGGGTCTTCACAACAGCTTCTTGTTATAAAATGGAGTATACCGTTGACTTTGAGTTAATCTTACGTACATAATTAAACTTGCAAAGTTCACACAAAGTTGTTTAACATTCTTCAGGTAACGAAGACGTTAGTGAGAATATAATAACAGTCAATAGGTATGATGTATTTAAGATGGGAATAGGTTTATAATTTATATTCGCGCCAAAGAATCTACATGCACAAAATCCTTTTAGATATATCTATACAGCGCCACAGTATTTATAAAGTCATGATTTTACTGATCTGTCCTCTGTCAAAACAAATCTAATGACTTTCCCGTCGTCAAATGAGTCCATTATTTGGCCATTCGTTAAGATCAATAAATATTTTAAGCACAAGGTTTCGTAAAATTTATAGTATTTTCATAGCTTTTGAATTGCAAACTAACTACCATTGTAACCCAAAAGTTCTAATGACAAGGTGAGGTGCATACAGTTCATTCACATCGGGTACGAAACAGTTAGTTATCCACCGTAGACAATGGAAGATGTTCTCTGAATATTGTGAATTGATTCAAGTTATACATTAATGCCGTTGGATGCCCCAGACCTTACTGTGAAGAAGTTAAGCATTCATGAGAGTTCAGTGGTCCTGGGCTTCAATTTCCGGATGCAGGATGATGGAGAAGTTCCATACTAAAAAGAAACACCCGTTTAGTACTTCTACAATCTGAATGGGTTTAAGACAAATGTTAGGAATTATAGTCTATTGATCTGATTATGTAATAGTTTCCAACATAATAAAGCATATATTACTACAACATTTATTCATATTCCAACGTAGTGATACGAATTTTCTTACCGGTAAAAACCTGACATCATTTTTGCTAGTATTTCAATTATTTAGTTTTTGGTGATATCGACCATCTTTGTTTTGTTTTTAGTTTGAAGGTTGTACAAAGCGTTATTCTCGTTTGGAAAATTTAAAAACTCATCTTCGATCACATACTGGAGAAAAACCTTATCAATGTGAAATTCCTGGTTGTAATAAAGCATTTAGTAATGCTTCAGACAGAGCTAAACATCAGAATAGAACACATAGTAATGAAAAACCGTATACATGCAAAGTCGATGGTTGTTCAAAACGATACACAGATCCTAGTTCTTTAAGGAAACATGTGAAAACTGTTCATGGTGCTGAGGTAAGTTATATACGATAAAAATATTGATCATTAAACTATGCATTATACTTTAGTATTTCGAGTGTGTACTTTTCCACTTTAATTTAGATGTATGATTGAGGTATTGCGACAGAAACGAAATGAACTGTTTTCTCTTTTTATTATTAGACAGGGAAAGAGATCTTGAATTCTATTTTCAGCTGAATGTATCAGTTGTTTGTAAGCCAGGAAAAAAACTTTTTCAGTAACGCATATTCACCAGTACATATTACAGTGGGGGTCATACGATTGGTTTGTTATATTAGAATTTAACGTTTCACAATTTTTAATTCGCAGTAGAGTCAAGTGATTACTGAAAAATAAAGGACGATGATTGATCTACAAAGAGAGAGAGGATGTTGCTTATGAGAAGATTTATATACATTGACAAGCATATTTTTAAGAGCAATAATAATTTTGGATACATAACGATTGAACCTAATGATGGTGTTAATCATTCGCTTTAATGCGCTTCGTTTACGAACCTCTAGAGAAAAAATGGCTAGGGTATGGACATGTGAACAAAAGCTAGAATAATCAAACACTGATAACCAAAAGAGTGATCTAATCTAATAAAACTTCACTTTAAAATGATACCTAAAATAGATTATGGATTTTTTCTTATCTGCCTTTGATTTCCACAATTTAATCATGTTAATTTGATAGTGAAGTAAACTCTATAAAGGTTAATCCAATTAATTCAGTTAATTAATCCAGCTATTAGTCATAGGATTATGATTCTAATCAGCAAATCAAAATTTTGATCTTTTTGATAGGTTTATGCAAATAAAAAGCATAAAGGCGAGAGTTGGAGTGATAGACCCTGTGGTGGATCTGGATTTGGCGGAGGACATCTATTCGGCAACGGCAATCTTGGCAATAGTAATAACAATAATAATAATAATCCTTCTCATGATAAACGATCCAATGGTTCAATGGCTGGAAAACGTGTAAGATTTGGTCCCGGCGGAATGAATGATAACAACAATGTTTTTCATCGTGGAGCTTATACAGATAGAGAACAACGTCCTTCTTCATCATCAAATACAAGAGATGGATGTTTAGCTTGTCTTACAAATCCAGTTCATACAACTACAATGAATCCTGTAGATATTACTACAGAACACATTATCACAGAATATCATAATCAGGATTTTTCGAAATTGAAAAGATTCAATACACAAGAGTCTGGAAGAAATACACCACATAATATAAGTTGGCATTTACCTGAAACTGATAATCAAAATATACATTCTAGTGTTTTAATGATGACATCACCACCTGCAGTATACAACACAAGCAATGATTATTTTTCTAATTTCAAATGTGAACATTCCATTTATCCAAATTATTTTAATTTTGCTCGAAATGTAATTCATACAGAAGATACTGATGAAAATAATAACAATAATTTGGTCTTATCTTGGCCATCCCCAACAATATCATCATCATGTGATAATTTATATTTAAATCCAAAAATAAATCCATCCATCACAACATTACAACCTGTAACAACTACAACAAATCCTGTTCAATCATTGCCATTATCGATGGACGATTCATATCGTTTGACAAATATGAAACAGAAAAATCTTTTCTCACCTGTTAATGAATCAATAACTAGGAATGAAAATTATTTAACATCTACAAAACAAAATCAAAATGATCAATCATTACCAATGTACCCTCATAGAACATTGGATCACTTGGAAAATGATTCCAAAAAACCCTTGAAAACTGAAGCGAATCATTCAACATTAAACTGGAAATATTCACAACAATCAGTTGATGAAATGAATAAAGATCATTGTAATAAAAAGCATCCTATTTCATTCTTTAATGATCAAGATATGAAAAAGGTACTGGATTAATATTTCCCGCCATACCAATAGAATAATATTTAACAATAATTTAAACAAATTCAGTATGAACCATACGATAAGTGTGATTAATAATAGTTAACATTTTCAGTTATAGTCAGTCAATATTGAATATTGTTCGATAAGGTCAAAAATGGATGAAACAATTGATTTTTAATTTGCGACACAAAATTTATCTTCATACAGTTTAGTAATTATTTTAAAAGGTTATAATGCATCCACCTGATAGCGGGTGACGGTTAATTAATCTTCATCATAGGGTTGTGGAAAATGTTGAGTTTTTTTTGAATTATTAGTCAATCAGTTTAAGACCACCGTTCGAAACCCAGAAGCATTAGGCGGCCGCTACGTTCCTAGCTCCGAGTTCTAGTGACAAGTAGTGACCAGTGGAGTTCAAGTCTGTCAAGTGTGAAGCTACGCTCACCAAAGTCGTCGGATAAGGTTGCGCATGGCTGTGAATATATTGGAGTAAGACACTAACACCGTTGGGTGCCGGCCTAGTGGTCCCGAAGTAAAGCGTTCGTGCGCGAGACCGAAGGTCCCTGATTTGAGTCCCATAACCGGCGGTTGTGGATGCGCACTGGTGATGAGTCCCATACTAGGATGAAACGGCAGCCCAGGTTTCTGCTGATGTTCTAAAGTTGATCAATTCACGGTTTCACTTAATTGATCATACAGTTTTAAAGTGTGATAAATTCATTTTGTGATCGAATCGTCTAATCGGTAAACGAATTAACAGAAAAAGTTATCAGAAAAAACTATCCGTTCGATTCGTTGTACTTATTTTCTTTAACAATGCACCAAAAATATATGGTGAGAGTGGTTGACATTGACATGAACAAACATATGAATATGAATAGAAAAAGAAATTATCATGCTATTAATAATCCTGTAAGCTGAAAAAACACTTGAAATCCATAAAATTTCTATGTACTGAATTTTCATCCCAGTGTGTACTTCTGACTAGGAACATCTAGGATCGTAATGATGTTCGTAGTTTTATCCATAGATCGGTTGTTACATATTCTACATCTCTGAGACTAAACTAAATTAACTTTTATAAACGTTATTTTTTCCCAAATAATTCTGATACGCAACGATTTCTTTTTTTATTTTGTCTGTTACTTTCATTTCTATTTAAGCCATTGCCTGATTATCTGTCAACATCATTAGCATGTCAACCAATGTCAACTCAATTCACTTTAAATCCAAATGAACAAACAATGAATGAGTTGAATAGATCAATAAATACTGATAATTTCAATGATAGATCAGATATGTCCACTTCTTTCAATGAAACTTATTGTGAAAATAATTTACAGTTTAATTTTCCAGTGAAATGGAAAGTTGAAGATACATCGGCATACTTAAAAAATGCAGATAATAATAATAATCAAACAAAGGATAGCGAATTCAACGAAAACATTTCTCCACATTCAAATCATAATGAATGTGTTTCAAGTGTACCATTGTTAAATAATCAATATATTGATGATGTCATGGAACAGAAATCACGAATTTGTGTACTAGAATGTCCAACTCAGTTGAGACCAATGCAAGATATTACTTCTCCTAATGGTAATTAATTTTAATTCTAACTAATGTTTATATTTAGTCGATTTATATCATTATTTGTCTAGTGTAACATTTCAACTCATTGCCTTCCATATTCCCTACTTAGATGAACCCTTAATAAATAAACTTTTCTTGTTAGTTTATTGATTTCTTATGATTAATAGGTGGATATTGATTCAAATCTCACAAAAATATTTTTACTGTTGGGGATGAATAATAACAGTAAGTAGGCCAGCTACATGTTGACTGATATAAAGTGTATTCGTATGCTAGTTATGCAGCATAAAACTCAAGCATTATTAGGGTTCATGAAATTAACCGCTTAGAATTCAATTTTCCTAATAAAACACATTGAAACAAAACGAATAACGTTATGGGAATAAAGTTTGAGACGAAACAACTGGTAAACACACATGATCTGTTCATTTCATATGAGAATTCAATTCATAACTTTTTTTAGGAAATTGTGGACAATAAAATGTTTATGTCTGTGTAGGAGGATAACACATCAGATAAAACAGCTTTCTTTAAATGAATACTATGTTTTAGTGACAGCTGTAAGGACTACAAGTATGGTACAAGAGATTGACAACCATTGTGCTTTTGATTTGATGCACATAAAACATGTATAAAATCTGTTATATTTCATGGCCTTCAATTTGCTGTTTAAATGATTGCTAACTAACTGAATTACGGAAAACTGTCTGACTTTTATATATTAGTGAAATATTCCAAGTCAAGAGATTTGTATGCAAAATAATAATAACAATTACTATTATTATTATTGTTATTATTATTATTATTATAGCTTTATTTATAACTATAAGTTTTGTTACAGTAATGGATTCTTAGTCATTTATACCATTCGGTTATTGATCGCTTTTCAACATACATACAGTACTGAAATTATTTAAAAACAACATACCATAAAATGCTTTTCCAGTGGATAAACTTTTCTATCAGCTCATGTGCCACGACTATTTTTTTCATCCATCAGTCATTGAATGGATTACACATAGTACATTGGTCTCTCGTTTTTTTTTGAAAGGAATAGACAAAGAGGAGCATTTATTAAATACAATGTTTTAATTTGATGCTTACAATATTTAGCATTCTGACAGGTCGCCAGCCATTCATAATACCTTGCGATTTCAAAAATTCAGGATTTATGATTAGTCTTTTCAAATAAGTTTGAAGTAGTAATGTTTATGAAAATAATTTTACACTTAGAAAATAGGTAATCCAAACGTTTGCATAAGTTGCGTCAAGTAGATTACACACTTGTTTATAATGTAAGTAATCACTATCTAATAAAGTTTCATTTAGTTTCCCTTTGTCAAACAATTTCCATTACGTTATCAATGCTTACTGGTAACCTTGTATTATTGTTATACTAATCATTAATAATTACAGTGATGAACGACATAGCGTAATTACACTAACTTCACAGTTAGATAATGTAAAGCTAAATGAAATGAAATCTAATGATTAATCAAACCGAAGTTGTTAGATAACTTATTTAATCACTGAAAGAAGTTACAGTTTTCAATTTGACTTAAGAAAATTCTTTTAATACTGACACGATAGTTTGATTGTAATATTTTCCAAATTTATCTTAGAACTTTGGGATTCAGAGAGCGCGGCTGCTTCATCTGGCATCGGATCAGGTGTAGCAACTACAACAGCGTCAGATAACAGTAATACTACTCATCAGTATCATCATCAACATCAACAACAACAACAACAGACATCGAGACGATCTCATCAACATCAAAACCAAACAAAGTCTATAAGTTCAATGAATAACTATTCAAATCAAGACAATGGTAATACTATGATGGATAATGATGAAACATTTGTTAATAATGAAAATATTACCAGTGATCTTGGTTCTATTGATCGATCTTCTTTATTAGGAACACCAAGAACCGATTCAAATTTCACTGGTTGTTCATATGAAGGGACAATCAATGTAAAAATAAATCATAAGAATGATAATTCCATGCATAATTCATGTACTTGTACACATAAACAACAACTACAACAACAACAACAAAGTGATCATTCACATTCTACTTGTGGTTATCATGGAAATTATCATGATCCAATAGTAGATGGAAATGCATCATCTCAATTAGATTTAGAACAACTTAGTGCAACAAGTTCACAAATCAGTAGTGGAGTTGGTTCAATGACTTCATCGAATGCTGGCAGTGGTTGTAATTGTACAGGGACCGGATCAAACAATACAAATATAAATGTAATGAATAATGCTAACAGCATTAATGCAATGCCTAGATCCATTGAAAATGATAGCTTATCTAAATTAACTAATAATTATTCATATAATTCACAAGTATACAATGAACATGATGATGATAATGATGACAATAATATATCAAAAATGTGGAGGAAATATTACAAATCCTATGGTTATCATTCCCCGTATAACAACAATCAATGTGAAATATTTTATCCTGAAATTTTCGATTCTGAACTTGAGGGTTATTCCAATACACCAGCAACTGTATTAAATGGTCTCCCTTCTACTGTTTCACCTGTTCCACCTACAATTTCAACACATCAGTACCAGTCTAATCTTCATCATCATCATCGGCAGCATAGGCAACAACGTCATTCACAAAATAATCCCAACTTAGTCACTTCTAGATCGAATCATCCTAATGATGAAATAAATTCTTCTCCTCACACGTCTGTTCATTCATCATATTCGTCTAATTCATTATCATCTTTTAATTCAAATCGTCCACATTCTGTGGAAACATTTCCGCATAATAATTTAACAAACCATAGTTTATTTAATAATCGACGATATACGCATACGTCATTATCTACTAGGAGTAATAATCATGATAATGAAATGAATAATACTTTGAATAAAACTAATCCAAAGAATGCATACAATTTATGTCTTTTCTCCATAAATAACAATACTAATAATAATAATAATCAATGTGATATGAATAGTAATTTGATTTTACAAAGACATTCTATTACAGATGATCAATGTCATGTCAATCAAACATGGTTTCCAAATGATAATCATAGTCATAATTATTGGTCACATCCATATTATACTAATCAATTGTCTGTGGGAAATCAAATTCCTAATTGGTCAAATAAATCTACAGTTACGTCATCAGCATCATCATCAGCATCGTCAGTACCAACATTAACCACAGAAGCATTGAGAACACATAATTCATCGGATAATTTATGCGCAACTTCAAGATTCAATAATTCGATAGATTATTATCATGAATATACAAATTTTTATCAACCAACTACAAATTCATTACAACATACATTATCTTCAACAACGTCTGCGACAACTTCTGCAAAACTAAATTCTAAACTATCTTGGACAACCAATGATAATCATTCAGAAATTCCTAATTCCAGTCATTTACATAATTTACACATTCAATCAAATCAGTTATTATTAAACAGTAATAATGATAAATTAATTGAACTAAATCCTATGAATCAAATAAATACACATAGGAATTGTAGTACAGAAGTAAATTGTTGTTATACAAATTTTCAAAATAATACTACACAGCTAGAAAATATTAATCGCATCAATAATAATGAATTATCCATTTCGTTAACTTCATCTCAACAATTTTCAATGAATTCATTCACTACTACATCAATATCAACAACATCTACACAAAATCCTTATTCATCTTATCATTTAATGTCTACTTCAAATGTACATCATGAAAGAAATCATAGAACTGTTGAACAAATAAACAGTCTACATTCACCTAATCCATTATTTACAATAGCATCAGAGATAGTTTCTGTAACAACAACCACGACAACAACAACATCCAGTGTCAACAGTTGTCAGAATTTAAAAGAAAGAGACATACCGAATTCTCTTCATACATATATTAATCCATTTCATTCATCTAATCCATTGTACAGTTCTTTCTTACAATCAGTTTTTGAAGAACCAACATTCACAACAACATCAGCAGCAGCATTATCATCATCATCAGCATCATCGGCGTCATCGTCATCGTCATCACCATCTCCATCCTTACTTTTATCATCGACATCAACTCATCTTGGTCATTTCAATCAATTATTTGTAAATGCTGATCCAATAAGTAATAATCTAGTTGTTTGTAATATGACAACTATGGATACAGAATATGCATCGTTTCATTCATACAATTAAAAATACACTGTATAGTTATTTCAATAAATGTGTGATAATACAATACTATATTAATTATTGATAACAATCATTTTTAATCTACTGATGATAAATACTGGTGAAAGTGAAAAAAAATTCTGTCTCTTTCTTTTTTCTTATCTACTTTTTTTTCTTTCACTTTTACATTAAGCTGATTTATTCATGATGAAGAAGTTTTTAGTTTGCAAACTAGTCAGTATAGTTTGTAGCATTTCGTCTTTATTTCATATTCCTCAATAGTATCAGAAATAAACTAAACTTCTCTTATTAATCATTGTATATTTTTTAATATTGAAGCCGGTGTAACTTCCGCACCATCCATTCATACTAACTAAGCACATTATTCGTAAAATGAAAAAAGAGCGCCATTTTTTTTTAATTTCCAATTATTACTTATTATTTGTTTTTATTGTCATAGATACTTTATTATCTTTCGAAAATTAGCTTATAAACAGTTCAAACAGAACAAGGCATATGTATTTAACCTGCTCAACATTCAAGTTATTTGTTCTGTTTTTTTAGCATTACTTATCTTTCACCTATATTATTGTTTATCCGGTCACATAATCAATCACATTGACTTTCGAATTTCATTTTATTGGTTTCGACATCTTTGTGATTTTTTCAAAAGGAAAAAAGCTCATGTATACATTTTATTAATAATGATCTTTCATTACTGGTTACTCGGTTAAATCAATCAATTCCCGGTCACTTTGACCAATTTAAAATTTCAAACAATACAGGATTGTGAAAGTCTGCAAATCCAAGAAATAACAATGAGTATGATACATATTATTGAAGGAAGAACTACATGTTTTGTCATTCATACAGTCTGTAATTACAAATTTATTTGTTTAGTTTAATGTTCATATTTTCATTCAGCAATCAAATCATAAAATTTTTTTGCTCATGTTCTACAAATAAATACAAACGAGAATGTAAGCTGTTTCAGTGAGAACATATTGGTTTACACACATTACCACAACAAGAACAGTACTAAGATGTGTATGTTTCACACTGTTTTGTTCTGCGATCTTAGAGCTGATTATCAATAATTCAGTTTGAAATTTATTTCAATAGATATTTAAATACAAGTAAAATAGGATAATTTTCTTCAATTTCAACGATATAGAGATAAACTATTGTGTATACAGTTGCTGTTCCTTTAATGTTTTATTTTTAATTCAGTATTGATCATGTATCAGTCCGTTTAAGATTCAACTGTTCAATGGAAATTCAGATTCCAATATAAAAGCTCCATTTTGTTATCTGGGGACATTTATTATTTTCTTTCTAATTTATACATTATGTTCAGTTTAAAAACATCATATATGTTATAAAATAAACGCCAAAAGTTACTAAGTTATCATGAGATTCCTGTTTTTCTCTTTTTTTACTACAAATTGCCAATTACATGACATTGTTAACGAATATCTTAAAGCGAATAACGTTTGTTGTAATATCCTGTATAAATAAGTAAACATTCAGCAAGAAGATTTGTGTGTTTTTCCATTGTCTATTTTATCTTGTTTTATTTGCTGTTCGAATCAATTCGAAACGCTGTTTTGTTATGAATATAAATTGATGAATAGATAGCTGTTTCTCACAGACTCACAGATTAAAATGTTTGGCTTTCCCACAAAATACAACCAGTCTTCAAACTACATACAAGGGTTTAACGTAGTTGATCTTGATGTTAAACAGAACAATTCAGCCATGTCCCATTGGTGTGTAGTGAGCGAGTCAAGATACCAGATTGACTATGATCACCACTGAATGTTCCCATCTTTCATATCAAAACAAATCTGTGGTTGAGTATTTTATTGAAGGAGAACGTTGGCATTACATGGGGAACAGGTCATTTAGAAAAATGGCAGCAACGCGAAGAGAACGTTGCGCGCAAGAAGTGGAAGAAGTGTTTTTGGTACAGTTAAACAAAACGAGTACAATAATGTTTATTTTTCACAAATCGTATTTTCTTCGTAGAAGCGTTCCACTACAGGTGTATGAGTTATTTCTAAAATCCTCAAATTAAACACTTGGCTTATTTAGTCTTATGATAGAGATTCACGAAAACTATTCTCAGTATGCTTAAATACTCAAAAGTACCTATTTTCTCAGGTGAAGATGTAGGACTGAATAACTAAAACCTCATCATATAATTTTGTATTTTACTGGTCGTACTATTTCATAAATATATTCAGGCGAGATCTAGAAAGTGAAATATTCATTAGTTTACATATATTTAAGTGAAAATTATGAAAGTTGTTTAAGTAATCCTTGCAATTTTCAAGACAGTTTCAAATAGTAATGGATGAAATAAGAGATGATGTCCAACATGCCTTCAACATCAGAAAGATAATTATGGATTTTAAAAATACTGAATCTTCTACATATAGCGGTTACATAGGCATGATTGTCATAATGAAAAATTTTCTTGAATGTGCATTTAAATGACTGAATTAACTAAGATATACAATAATAGTAAAAAAGACAAAAAGAAGAAAACAATTATGGTAGGACTGAGTGGATATGAATGAAATATTAATAGTATTAATATTAACATCAGTATTATACTTCTTAGTAATTAACCATAATAGCATATTTTTGACAATGTAGTTACATGACATTTAGACAGGCATGATTAATACTGTATAACAAGAGTTTACAGATAGGTTGTTACTCCAAAAAAATTTTTAAAAAATATAATGATAAATCCGGAAACGCTTTTAAGTACAATAAACCTGAAGAGACATAAGCTAAGTATATGTGTAATGGAAGTGTCGGATAAGTTTATAGTTTGTATAACATGGCAAGAAAGAAGCACTTTGTGGAGGATGTGGTTATGAATAAAGTTTACGTAAGGTATTTTTCTAAGGCATATGTGAAAGCCCAATAGCTGTGTGGTACAAGCTACAAGCGAAGGTATCAGCAGCATGGAGAATGGATATGAATAAATGACAGTTAGTCATGAGGCATAACAAAGTGGAATCGGATTGATATCGACACAGAAACTTTAACCACTAGCAGTTGAAATAGAATGGAATAACAACTGGCAATAGAATATACAGCAATTTTGAAACAAATCTAGAACTGCATTTGACTGGTATACATATGAATTCGGACTGTCCAGAGTGTCGATTAGTCAGCATCTTTCAAGTATTTATAAGCCGGGATAATAATATAATATGATTAGGTGGTGGTAGATAAACTGGCAGACAAGCAAAGGAATACTTGAAGGGCTCACTTGGAATATATCAGCCAACTTAATTCAAGTAGGTCAATAAAATTAAATCAGTTCATTTCGCAACTCCGCCTGTAGAACCCTCAGGGCTACTGCCGGTCCCAAGCCCGGATAAAGGAGGAGGGTTCGGCATGTGGTTGGCGACCACATCCCGTCAAAAAACTAACTTGCCAAAAAACGCAAACCAGAAGAAATAATTCAAACCAGTTTAACTCTGTTTTGGGAGTTGGAAGAAGAATTATGACGTCGCGTGATGAAAGCCGAGTTCCTCCGGAAGTCACGAGGCCGGTTCCTCTTCTGACAACCAGATCTACCATTCTTTCAGGTACATGGAACGTTCGTACATTGTGGGAGACTGAAAAAATATTTCAAGTTGCGGCAGAAATGAAACGATACAACCTGGAGGTGCTCGGCATCAGTGAAACGCATTGGAAACAGGTAGGACAACTGAGACTAGGTTCAGGGGGACTGCTGTTATACTCTGGTCACGAGGAGGAGAACGCTTCACATACACAAGGAGCTGCACTGATGCTGTCCAAACAGGCACAAAAGGCACTGATAGTATAGGAATCTCATTGACCTAGGATCATTAGAGCATCCTTCATAACAGAGAAAGAGGACATTAGAATGAACATCATCCAATGTTATGAACCTAGCAATGATTACAATGATGACGATAAAGATCGATTCTACGAAAAGCTGCAGTCAATCGTCGACAGATGCTCACCAAAGGATTTGACGATTCTTATGGGAGGCATAAATGCCAAGGTTAGCATAGACAACACTGGATATATAAACATCATGGGACGACATGGACTAGGAGAAAGGAACGAAAACGGTGAGGGATTTACAAACGTATGAGCCTTCAACAAACTGGTCATCGGCACCACAATATTCATACACAAGCGCATACACATAGCTACATGGATCTCACCGGATCACAATACTCAGGATCACAATACTGAGGATGTCAGAATCAAGAGAGGAGCTGACATAGCCTCAGATCACCACATGCTGGTCGCCAAAATGTAGCTGAAACTAAAGTAACATCGGACAGCGGGGCAGACAACATCACAGAAATATAATACGGCCTTTCTTCGGGATACCGTAAAACTTGACCAATTTAAGATAGCTCTCAGCAATATGTTCCAGGCCTTGAAGCGTCTACTCAATGCAGAGGAAGCAACCTTGGAGAACAATTGAAAAGGGATCAAGAAGGCAATCACACAAACATGTCACGAAGTTCTGGGTCACAAGAAGTACCATCACAAGGAACGGATCTCTATTGGTACTCTCGAAAAAATTGATGAAAGGAGGAACAAGAAGGCAGCAATTAATGTCAGCCGAACAAGAGCAGAGAAAGTCAAGTCACAAGCTGAATACACAGAAGCAAACTGGAAAGTGAAGAGCATCAGAGTCGACAAACGAAAATATGTGGAGGATCTAGCAATGGCGGCGAAAAAGGCCGCAAGAGAAGGAGACATGAGACAACTGTAGGATACAACAAAGAAGCTCACTGGAAACCATTGTACACCGGAACGACCAGTGAAAAGAGAGTAAGGGAAAGTAATCGGCAACACTGAAGAACAGCAAAATAGGTGGGTAGGGCACTTCAGGAACTACTGGCAGAGTCTTCGAAAATGTACTGTTAAACAGAATGAAGGATTTCGTAGACGCCCAACTTCCAGATCAGAAGGCTGGATTTCGTAAGGATCGATCGTATACTGACCGACCAAATTGCTACATTACGGATCATTGTGGGACAATTAACTGAATCGAACTCATCACTCTACATCAGCTTCTAGAGTGTGGACAGGACAACACTTCTTCTTCGACACTACGGCGTACCTGAGAAGACAATCAACATCATAAAGAATTCATATGATGGATTAAACTGCAAAATCGTGCACGGAGGTCACCTGACGAATTCGTCTTAGGTGGAGACCTGTGTCAGGTAACGTTGCTTACTCTCACCCTTTATCGTTCTCCTAGTGATTGACTGGATTATGGAGACGTCGACATCTGTAGGAAAGCACGTTATCCAATGGACAGCTAGGACGTAACTAGACGACCCTGACTCCGTAGATGACCTGGCTCTTCTATCGCACACGCAACAACAAATGCAAGAGAAGACAACCAGTGTAGCAGCAGCCTCTGCAGCAGTAGGTCTCAACATACATAAAGGAAAAAGCAAAGTTCTCCGATTCAACACAACATGCACCAACCAAATCACTCTTGATGGAGATGCCTTGGAGGACGTTAATACCTTTACATATCTAAGCAGCATCATCGACAACCAAGGTGGATGGGATGTAGAAGTGAGGGCGCGGATCAGAAAAGCAAGGGCTGCATTTCTACAATTGAAAAATATATGGAACTCCTAACAAATATCAATCAACACTATAATCAGGATTTTCAATACAAATGTCAAAACAGTTCTATTGTATGGAGAACTACCAAAGCCATCATCCAGAAGGTACAAGTATTCCTTAACAGTTGTCATCGCAAAATACTTCGGATCTGTCGGCCAGACACTATCAGCAACAACGAACTGTGGGAGAGAACAAACCAGCTTCCATTGGAATAAGCGGTGGAATTGGATAGAACACACACTGAAAAGATTACCGAACTGCGTCACAAGACAAGCCCTCACATGGAACCCTCAATGTCAAAGGAAAGGAGGTAGGTCAAGGAACACATTAAGCCGAGAAATAGAAAAAGACATGAGAAGAATGAACAAAAAATTTGACAGAGCTGGAAAGGGAAGCTCAGGATAGAGTTGGTTGGAGAAAACTGGTGGGCGGCCTATGCTGCATTGGGAGTAACAGGCGTAGGTAAGGTAACTCATTTCGCGGACATTGAGCTGTATATCATATTTCAAAATGGGTATACAGTAATATAGATTTGAGAAATTTATAATAAACGCCACAGCCTTTCACGGTGTAGACACCCGGGGAGTGATATCCGCCTTCGCGCTCATAATAGCACATGGAAATAAACTTGTCACAATCAAATCCTTCTAAAACCCCTAAAAAACCCTCTTTCTTCCATGACCTAAACTTTCCGTATTACCTTATCCCATGGCGCCGCTGATACAAACGATCCATGTACTCGAAACCTTATTCCTGGTCTCCTGAAACCACACTCTGAACTGCATGTTGGGACATTCAATGACAGAACCTTCTGCCAAAAAGGACAACAAGCTTCCCTAGCAAGGAATGTGTAGTCTTGTGCCATCGATGTATGCCGCATCTCCGAAACGCGCGTACAGAATCGGGATACAATGATTTATTTGACCTCATCATGTCAAAATAAAGAACCATATTGACATACGCTT